CACGCACACACGCACACACGCGCGCGGGGGCGCACACCGACACGGCCACCCCGACACGTGCTGGCCTGCGTTCCAATGCAGACACACGCTGACACGCAGTGGGGCTCGGACCCCGCCACACATGTCACGTACAGAACACATTGCCACACGTTCCACGTTCCAACAAAGCACACGCAGACACCTACGCACACACAGTATAGACACGCAACCCCCACACATGCACTCACACACGCACACACACACACACCAAGACTAGGAAAGCAACTGACAACCCCCACACACTGATATGCAAACGGGCCCACCATCACATGCTGATACCGCACACGTGCATTTCAACAACAAACCATGTTTAGACTCCCAAATACAGGACACACACTGATACACACCAAGATGCTCACATCAGTGCATGCTGGCATGTACAGATTCATGCTGACACACTGACACCGGCATGATCACACAACCACATCATGACTTACCTCAGATACACAACTCCTTTACAAAGACACCCAAATGCACACACAACACACACACACACAAAACTGCACCAAAACATCTTGGCAGTTGTGGAAATGCATTAACACATTGTCACACAAACACACCATCAGACACCTGGACATACATGCCAAACACAGCGAAAGCACTGGTCTGGGTACAAAGTGACACTGGCAGTCACATCAACAAACAGGCACACACACCACACACTTGATGCCCAGATGTACAGAGGTGTCACACAGATACACCCAGGCCCTTCCCATGCACCCCTCACACCACATACACAAGTATTTGGCCCTGATCATGGACTTACACAAATCTAGCAGAGGCCACACAGCCCAACCATCAGGGACAAAAATGGGCATTGAGGCCTCAGGTACACATCCGCACATCCCCGGGTGAGGCTCCATCCCCTCCTGAAGGTCCCTGATCCCCCATTTCCAGAGCAGAGAAGAATGGGAGGAAAGGTTGGTGTTGGGGACGCTGGAATGAGGGCAGGGGGAGCCTTTGAGTGAACCTTGGGGTGGACGAGGAAGTGCTTGCAGCCCCCAGGCAGCTCCTGCTGAGACAAAGCTCCCTCCTGCTGCCAGGTGCAGCCAGCACCTTCTCACCCTCCCAGGCCAATAAGCTGTGGCAATTCTCAGCTATGCATTGTCTGTTAGAAGGATGTCGATGCCCAGGTGTGTGTGTGTGTGTGTGTGTGTGTGTGTGTGTGAGAGAGAGAGAGAGAGAGAGAGAGAGAGAGAGAAGAAGTGTCGTCGTGGTGGTTGTTGTTCGTTCGTTCGGTACTACTATTGCTATCTAGTTGGAGGCGGAGGGTCGCAGTGTTGTGTTGTGGTGTGGGGTGGTGTGGTCGTCGTGGTAGG